TGCCATGGTCCCACAATCGGACTAAGCTCTTCTGCAGGTCGCCTAATCATAGGCGCATGTTTCTGGCACTTATCACATTTCCGCACGAATTGTTCAGCCTCTCGAGCCATGTAAGGCCAAAAGTAGCCTTGCGTTATCGCCTTGTGTGCCAAGCTCCTCCCTCCAGAATGATTGCCACAAGTTCCCTCGTGTAGCTCTTTCAGGGTCCACTCTGCTTTGGATGGGCTTAGGCAACGCAGATAAGGACCTGAAAAAGACTTCCTGAAGAGGACGTTTTCTATGAGCGTGTACCTGGCAGCTTTCATCCGAAGTTTTCTGGCTTCAACTGGATCTGCGGGTTGCGTTCCTGCCGTTAGGTAATTTTCTATTGACGTCATCCACGTCATCTCTGAGTCAACTTGCATAACCCGAGGTTCAGCAACATCTAGGCTAGGGCTTTCCCAACATTCCACAGACACGACCCTTGTGGAGTCCTCTCCTGAAGCCGAGGCCGATGCCGCACATGCCAACCGGTCCGCCCGTTCATTTAGCTCTCTCGGAATCTGCTTTAGTTCGAACTTCTTGAATTGTTGAGACAGACACTTTGACAGCTGTTGATACGCCTGCATCCTTTCATCTCTGGTCGCATACTCCTCATTTGCTTGATTGACTATGAGTTGGGAATCACTGTATACCTTCAAATTATCTATTTTCAATAGTCCGGCAATTTTCAATCCCAATACCAAGGCTTCATATTCGGCAACATTGTTTGAGGCAGGGAAATCTAGTCTAACAGAGTATTCTAGCTCTATTCCTTCTGGGGAAGAAAGGACAATCCCGACCCCAGCCCCTGCTCGGTTGGATGAGCCGTCTGCATATAACTCCCACAGTGTTGCCTCGTTACACCCTGCTTCCGTCGTATCACTCTGTTTCTCATGCGTTCCTTCTATGGGATAACATTCGACGAGAAAATCAGCAATTACCTGTCCTTTTTTAGATGTCCTTGGTTGGTATCTGATGTCAAATGCTCCTAACTCGATTGCCCATTTTGTGACTCTTCCCGACAGATCTGGCTTGGACATGATTGCTGGTTTGTGAGCACTGTAATGGTATGAGCTTCGAAATATTGTCGAAGCTTCATCTTGGCTACTACCAATGCCAAGACAAGTTTTTCTGCAGGAGTGTATCTCTTTTCAGCATCAATCAGGCTCTTGCTGACATAGAAAACAGGTTGCTGGAGGTAGCTCTCTTCTCGGAACAATGCTGCGCTTATTGCCACTTCGGTTACGGCAAGGTACATATATAACATCTCTCCAGGCTTTGGTATAGTTAGGATCGGGGGACTTGTCAAGTATCGTTTTAGTTGATCACAAGCTTCCACCTGCTCTGGCCCCCAAACCTCGTTTTTCCTATTCCGGATTGCTCGAAAGAAGGGTTTGCATCGGTCAGACAAACGTGAGATGAACCGGCTCAATGCCGCTACCCGCCCTGTCAGCACTTGTACTTCTCTTGGAGTCTTCGGGCTTGGCATGCCTCGTAATGCCTCCACCTTCTCTGGGTTTGGCTCAATGCCCTGCCTATTCACGATGTGCCCCAAAAATTGGCCTGATGAGACACCGAAAGCACATTTGGTCGGGTTCAGCCTCATCCGATATCGCCTCAGCACCTCGAAGGTTTCCTGAAGATGACCTATGTGTTGGGTTTTCACCGCACTTTTGACAACCATGTCATCTATATAAACTTCCATTGTCTTTCCAATTTGATCCTTGAACATCTGATTCACCAACCATTGATACGTTGAGCCTGCATTCTTCAAACCGAATGGCATCACCGTATAACAATACAAACCACGCTCGGTGATGAAAGTTGTTTTTTCTTGATCTTCGACTGCCATTGGGATTTGGTTGTACCCTGAGTAAGCATCAAGAAAAGTTAGAAGTTCATACCCGGCCGTGGCGTCCACCATTTGATCAATTTTAGGCAGAGGGTAACAGTCTTTCGGGCAGGCTTTGTTTAGATTGATGTAATCGACACAAACTCGCCATTTTCCTTTCTTCTTAGCCACGACCACCACATTAGAAATCCATGTCGGGCACCACACGTCGCGGATGAACCCAACTTCCAGAAGTCTGTCCACTTCGTCGCTAATGATTTGATTTCTTTCTGGCGCGAACCTCCTTTGCCTCTGCTGGTGCGGTGGGTGGTTAGGGTCCACATTCAGGCGGTGACACGCGACACTAGGATCGATTCCAGGCATATCCACATGTGACCATGCGAACACATCTTTATTATTCCTTAGGAACTCGATGAGATGCTCCCTTTCGGCGTTGGATAGGAGGGAGCCCACCAATACTTTTCTATTGGGATCAGAAGGATCCAGTATTTCTTCCCTTAGTGGTTCAGTTGTGGGGGGCTTTGGATCGTCTTCCTGCTCTGCTGGTGGGTCCTCCATTAATTGCTATAATTGCTGGTTCTGTTGCGGCTGTGCCCCGGCTGCATTCTTGAGGTCAGTCGCTATGTTGTAACACTTTTTGGCTTCAAGTTGATCCCCTTTGATATCGATAGTACCAGCACCATCTTCAGTTAGACATCTCATCACTTGGCACCTAGTTGATGCCTCTCCATCCATTCTATGGATCCAATCTCTTCCCATGATCACGTTATAGGCGCTCGGAGCGTCTACCACCACGAAAGTCACTAAAAGGGTTTTCCCAGCGGCTATGACGGGTAATGCCACGTCTCCTATTACTCGTGCCTTGCTGCCGTCAAATGCGAAGAGCGGTGTAGGATTGGGCCTGATCCCCTTTTCGTCTAATTTCATTCTCTTGAAAGTGTTCAAAAACATTACCTCTGCGCTGCTTCCACCGTCGATCATAACCCTCTTGACTTTCGAGTTCCCAATCTGAAGAGTTATGACCAGTGCGTCGTTGTGAGGAAATTGGATTCCTTCGAGATCTCGTTGGGTGAATGAGATGATCCCGACCTTCTCCAATGATTGGGCCGATTGTGGTGCTGAAGCGATTCCACAAACACGTCTTATCTTTTCAGCTTGTCTTTTCTCGGTTCGGGCTCGAGCTAGCTGACCTTATGGCAGTTGAGGTCGGCCATGGATAGCATTGATTTCCAACAGTCCCTCCTCAGTGGCGACGTTGTTGGTCACTGGTTCGGCCGCGTGCTCCTCCTTCAACTTATCTTCTGGTTGGGCTCGATATTGCGAAAGCATCCCCTTTTTTAGCATTGCTTCAACTTGATACCTAAGATTCCGGCAATCGTTGGTGGTGTGGCCAAAGTCGTTGTGGTGTGCACAAGTCTTGCTTCGGTCTCGTTTCTCTGGTGGTTCACGTAATGTCGGAGGCGTTCGAAAAATCCCTTTTCCCTTGTTTTCGTGGAAAAGTTTAGCCAGACTAACAGTCAGTTTGGTTGGGGGAGAATTGGTCCTTGCTTGATTGCGGAGACTTCCATTTGGAAAATTTGTCCTTGGCCCTTGGATCATCTCATACGGGTGCTTTGGTGTTGAAATGGCTGCGGTGGTGCGCTTTGACAAAGCGAGTTCTTCCTCTTCAAGTCTGATGATTCCATCAGCTCGAGCCAAAACCTCCCTCATGTCGAGGGGTGGTGTCTTGACCAGGGACTTATGCATTTTTGTTCCTGGCGTCACCCCTTCGCGGAATGCCAGTGACGCAGTGTGTGAGTCGTAAGTCTCTAAAGTAGACATTTCCTCCGTGAATCGCTTCAGATAATCTTTGAGACTTTCACCTGCCTTTTGCTTTGTGCTGAACAGCGTTGTGATGTCTTTCTTTCTCCTTTGATTGCACACGTATTGGGATATGAAAGCTTCGCAAAGCTCAGTGAAGCTGCCGATGGATCTTGGCTTCAACTGCCTAAACCACGTCAAGGCCGACCCTGACAGGCTAGATGGGAATAGTTTGCATAACAACGCTTCGTCTTCGCTTTCGAGGACCATTTGCTGCTGGAAGTGATAGATATGCTCAATGGGATCGGCCACGCCTTCAAATAACTTGAATTTGGGTTGAGTAAACTTCGCGGGCTTCTTAGCTTTCAGAATATCACTGGTGAAGGGTGATTTGCAAATTCCTTTAGCAGCTTCAACAGCCAATTCGGCAGGTGTTTGTGGTTTGTACCCTTTCACAATCTTTTCAATTTGTCTCCGCAGCTTGCTGTCTTTGGACCTTTTCAATTCCCTCCTCTGGTCCTGGTGGTCTTCATGGTCATTCTGCTGATCATCGGAATGGATACTTTCGGTGGAACTTCCATCTGATAATTCTATCCTCTCCTTCCTTTTGCTCCCCTTGAGGCCTTCCGGACGCGACGTATGGTTGCCCTTGGACTTCTCCAAAGCTTCGGCTGCCATCTTCCTCGTTTCACGCAACTCTTTCATTATCTTCTTAAACTGGATGGCTGCGAGACTGGGCTCTGCTTCCTGGGAATTTGATCTGACATCTGCGGATCGAGGACGAGACCGGGCTGGAGTGTCTTGTGCAAATTCAGCCATTGATTAATTTTGCGAGAGTTCCCACAGACGGCGCCAACTGTTGGAGCAGAAATTCTTACAATAAGAATAGCTTCCACAGGTTCTTGGCTTTACTCCGCACTCAGGATTGATGAGTCTCCAAGCAACACTCCTCCAAAATCAAATGAGTGAGGGTTGGGTACCTGCAAAAGATACTCCGACGCTCAAGTCAATTTCTGTATGTATTTTGGTGCTTCAATTAATTGGAAAATCGTCCCCTCATCTGGTTGTGAAGCTTTGCATTTATACCTGATGCCAGCCTTGGGATGCAAGCTTCACTAAAACCGTCTTATGTCCACGAACCCACCAATTGAGAGTTGTGCGTTACCGACTCCTAACTGTGTTCATGTTATCTCTCGATTCATGCGGGTTGGGGAGTGCGGGCGTTTGAACATACCCACCAACCCACGTCGGGTCGCTTGTGTACGAATCCATATGGGATAATGCTCCTGTGAACCCACGTTGAGTGGTGCATATCCGAACCCGTGTTGGGCGGTGCACATCCGGACTCGTATTGGGTTTGTGCGCATGCGAACTGGTATTGGGCCAATGCCCATATGAACTTTCGTTGGGCTTATGCGCATATGAACTCACATTGGATCGACGCCAATCCGAGCTTGTGTTTCACGTATGCGAACCCGCATTTGAGCCAATGCCCATCCAAGACTATGTTGGGTTGTGCCTCAATCCGATCCTGTGACGTGGCGGATCGGTACGGAATTATTCCGCTCCCACAGATACCACCTCCTAAAACACGCACCACCATACCAACACTTCGTGTCCCCAAAGACATATTGATTGCACCATCAACGTTAAGTTTAAAGAAACCAATAGGAGGAGATTGCCATTGCTTCTTAGGAACCGGCACAAAAGACCGCCTTTGATGAAATAAAAGGATATTTTGGAACTCAACATCATAGTTCTTTGCGCATGGGGCATCACCTCAGAACCAAAGAGAACATAATTGCAAACATTCCACAATAACCAAAGTATAGTCGCAAATAAGGAATGTTGATCACTAGGAGCGACGTCCCAAGTAGCAAACCACCAGTTGTGGGCATCAGTAACAGGCAACACAGCAAGACATGAATCCCATCCCAAAATTTCCCATATAGGAGAACAAGCCTCTCAATCCTTGTGGACATGTAAAGGTGTTTCAACCCAGTCAATACACCAAAAATAATTAACCTTGTGCGTGATCTTCTGTTTAAAGAGCACATCACGGGTAGGGAGGATATTCTTAGCAAGGCGCCATAAAAAAGCTGCATCTTCAGTGGTACTTTCAACTTCCAAAGATGTTTTCAAAGCTTCTGGGACGTAGAAGCCCAGATGTAGTGGAAGAGTGCGCAAGTTTTTGGTATTCCAAAGTGGCCTAATAACCGCTCTTTACTGTATGAGCATGTTTGTTGTTGGTGATAAGCATGTTTTACAATGGTACTCTTTTTCCTTGACCAAATTTTCTTTAATTTGTGAGTTTTTTAAGGTAAGGTTTTAACGAGGCCACAATTGCTCCATCATTGGATCTAGTCCCTCATATTTTGTTTTTGGGTAGTAGTGTTCTTTTTTTCGTTTTCTTTGTTTCCTCATCATTGTTTTAGGCCGTGGATCTTTTTAAGATCACATTCTTGTTTCTGGCTTTCTCGTTGGGTTTTGGATGTTTTCATCCTCTCTTCTGTTTACTCTTATGGTGTTCTAATAAAGTATCTTTAAAATAAAAAAAAAATAAAAAAAGTTGCACTGTTGCAGCCCGATCCGAGAGTCGAACTTGGCTCAAAATCAGCGCCGAAGCCTGACGAGTAGCGAGCCTGTAACGAATGGCCACGTTACGTACTCAGAACGCCATGCAATCACAAAACAGCATGTCATACTATGACGTGGCGACCAACACTCAGTTACCAGAAAAGCCCTTGGACATTTCATACAAAGACCAATAGAACCGTTAAAACAGTCTCCTCTCCTCACTCTCACAGACAGAGTCGTCTTCTTCGTCAGTCTTCGCTCTCAGCCGAAAAACCTAAAACGAACAAAAGGAAAATCCCACATGACCTTCGTTCTCTGATTCATCAATGGAGGATCTGTTTGGACTCGCATACCTCTGAAGGATCACAACTCTTTCTGTTTCATTTGGTAACTGCAAATGGGGACCCGTTTTAAATTCGTGTTTTGTGCTGTGACCATCGTGATTTGTTTGGGAGTGTTTGGAATTGGTTCGGTTTCTGCTCAGAATCGAAGACCTAAGAATGTTCAAGCTGCGGTTCGGGCCAAGTGGTCTGGTACTCCATTGCTTCTAGAAGCTGGGTAGGTTGCATATACATTTATGAATGTGAATGCTTGCTTATTATTCTCATCTTTTAAGTCTGTTAAAGTTTGCGTAAGTTTTTCTTTCCATGATTTAATGCAAAGCGCATGCTTTGACGAATAGGAATCTGCTTGCCCTTATTCAAAAGAAAGGGAAAATGATGGTTGAATAGGAGTGCGTTTTGGCAACCATGGAATGAGCAATGCCTCAACAGATATAATTCGAACATGGTAAAAGGAAGTTAAAATGGCGAGAGTTAGGCGTCGAAATGTTAGAAAGCAGAAAAGTAAATGATATCTAACAGTTCTTTTGTATGGAGACAGTCAATCTTAAACTGATTTGGACACTTTTCTTTATTCTTTCTATTATATGTAGAAATTTAAAGAATTCATTAATTTTATTTAGTTTAGACGGTAATTGTTGTGACATTATTCAAAAATCAATTTTTTTTTCCCTAAAGATGACCAAAAGTATGAGTCCTTTCATTTAGAAACTAGCATTGGGGCTGTGAAATTTGTCCCATGAGTTTTCCACTATCTTTCCAAACAGAAGGAGTCACTGAATCTTGAAGGGGATCATGGTCTTGAATGTAAGTTTAGGTCAGAATAAACGTGTCATAAACACAAGTGCTTTGCTCCCTCTGGAAATTCTAAAAGGGACGAGAGTTTTGAGGTGGTTTTGAGTTTTGGGATATAATTTTGTCTTACAACTTGGAAATGCATGCATGTTCCAGTAGGATACATCATGAACATTGTGCTCATATGATGGTTAGAACAGAATCATATCTTTTAGATGATTATTTGTTAGATAAGTTAAAATTTGGTGTTGAAATGTAATTGAAATCAGTAAATTAAATTTCCCCTGATTTTTGTAAATACAGTTTATTTTCCTATGTTGTGCCTTTCTTAAGCTATTGTTAGCTTCTGTCTTTTGTCTTATGCAGTGAATTACTATCAAAAGAACAGAAAGACCATTTTTGGGACTTTGTTGAGGTTTGGCATCAGAGTGAGAAGGATGATGTTAATTCTCATAACGCAAAAGATTGCTTAAGAAAAATTGTAAAACATGGCCTCTCTATTTTAAGTGAACCACTGGCATCTCTGTTTGAATTCACTCTTATGCTGAGATCTGCATCTCCAAGATTGGTGCTTTATCGACAACTAGCTGAGGAGTCTCTATCTTCTTTTCCTCTGGTTGATGAAAGTAATTCAAGCGAGCATGTAGAAAGTAAAAGGTCAGATCCCTTGAATGTTGGTCTAAACCCAAAAAGCCCTAATGGGAAATGTTGTTGGGTGGATACTGGAGGTGCACTGTTCTTTGATGCTGCTGATTTGAAAATTTGGCTTCACAGTCCCAGAGATTCGTAAGAACTGCTCTTTTATTTTGCTTTGTTATCTATCTCTGCCTATCACTCTAAAAAAAGAAGCCTTATTGGGCGCAATTCCTCACCTTATATTTTTTGGTTTTCAGTTCTGGAGATTCATTTCAGCAGCCTGAAATTTTCGAATTTGATCACATCCATTTTGACTCAAGTGTTGGAAGTCCGGTTGCTGTTCTTTATGGAGCTCTTGGAACTGATTGCTTTAGGGAGTTCCATCTCACCCTAGTTGAAGCTGCAAAAGAGGTTTGCAACTTGTGTTATTCACTTTAATATCCTCTTGGACATTAGAGTGATTACTCATACTATGTTAGATTTTTCTTTTTTTTCAATTTGGAATAATTGTATTAGAAGTCGCAAATGTGGGTTAGGCCAGTTGGCCAGGGCAGTGTGCCCACCCCCTTGCACCCAAGTTCGAATTCCCCTCCCCGTATGTTAGATTAATTTAGAGTAATTTAGACTATCGCTGGTATTCAAAGAAAAAAAAGTTGTATTAGAAATCTAGAAATGGCTATCAATCATATTATAATACATCAGGGAAGGTGAATATAGCCCAATATATTTAGGTGTAGCAAAGTAAAAGTAATTTTGGATTCCTAGAATTTTTTTCGGTCAGTTGAGCAACATATATTGCTTACATACCAACTGGTTATAGAAATTAGAGGCTTATATTACCATGTAGCTTTCTTTTGTTTTTTGACCTGCATTTCATTTAAGCTCATAAACCATAGGGCAGATTTAAAAATGTTTCTAATAGAGGCGGTAGGCGTTAGACATTTGAAGCAGTGACTGAATCGACACTTCTTACCAACAGAAACACTTTTTGCAACATAAGATGTAGTGTATTTTGTTTCTGATCTTGCCACAAGCGTAGAACTAATGTAATAGCATTGGCAAATACCAATTTGTCTGTTAATTGTAGGGATACTCTTTGAAACACATAATGCCTGGATGTACGGTAGTGAACATGAGGGAGATAATTGACTTAACGTGTCAGCTTTGTGTTCTTTTTGTTCATTTTCTACTTTTTCCTTTTTTACACCATACATACTAACTTGTCGAAGTGTAATGTGCCACTAATATTACCAAATTATCATGATGCTGTCATGTTTACCAGCTGTGTACTAGTTCTGTTATATGCGTACATTTATATGTATTTTTTTTTTAATAGAAACATTGTATTGATAATCAAGAGGAAAAAAACCTCGATCAAGCAACAAAACCTATAATGAAGAGTATCTGACCAACTAAGACAGAAAGATTCTGAATTAAAAACACAAAAACATAAGTGACATCATCTTAAGA